TTGGTGCAGTAGGAATATCGAAATAAACATGGTGCCTCCTTCAAGGTAAGTTCATAAAATGGCACATAAATCAGACATATAAAGGTTAGAGTTAAAAATCAAATCATTGGGACTACTGATCAAGCAGGCTCCGCTGTCCTGGACAGTATGGAACTTGTTCAGTGTTTATTATCTGCAGCAATCCTGTCATTGCAATATACAGCATTTCATATTTGTGGTGTCGAATTTCTCCTTGGAGAATGTTGTCCTGTATTTCTGCTTTCATCCATAATGCTGTTATTTTATTATTTTCACTTGGAATGACTGAAATTGCATTACAGAAGTTGTTGATCCAATGCACCTGGGCTATTAGAAGGTCTTGAACTGCAAGTATCAACTCTGTTCAGTATTGATAAGTTTTGAAAGCCAAACCTTGAAAACATCAAGATACGTTACAGTTCTAATGGTGTGAATCAGGTGCAGGGTCTTCATGTGCAATTAGACAGGTGGAAGAATAAGAGGAAAGCCCAAAAATGGTGACAGAATACTTGATTCCACGTTATTTTGAACAGATGGTGAGGACGTCAGCTTCCGACATGGCATAATTTTGAGTGGTTGCAAAAATATTTTTATTTCTTTTATAACGTAGCTGTCACATGTCTGCTAACATTAATAAACCAAATCAAAAATTGAAAGCCGATTCCAATGTTTTCTTAAGTGAAACAGGGAAGGTATATTATGCATTAAACACAAGGAATATTAAAAAAAAAAGCATGCTGCCTCAACGCCAGGGACCTGGGTTTGATTCCAGCCTTGAACAATTGTCTGTGCGGAGTTTGCATGTTCTGTGTGGGTTTCTGCCAGTGCTCCGGTTTCTTCCCACAGTCTAAAGATGTGCAGGTTAGGTAGATTGGCCATGGTTAATGCACGGTTACGTGGATAACTTGGGGGAGTGGGCCTGGGTGGGATGCTTCTTCGAGGGTCATTGCAGTCTCAATTGGCCGAATGACCCCCCTGCACTGCAGGCATTCTCTGATATCAACCACAGACTTATAAAAACAGGTCAGTTAAGTGTGGGTGGACATCTGTACAGATAGGGAGTTAAAAGCATTTGCAGTTTAAAGTTCAAAGTCTTTGAGTTGCAAGAGTGAAATGTGAGTCCCAACAGCGTAGCTGTTGTCCTGTTTCCTCAGGAGCGGCATAGCCAGTGGATAAATCCAGTGAAGGTGGTTTTCCAAGCTTCTTTCTCAGTGGCAATAGCTTTTAAGTTTGAGAGAGAGATTGGGAGAGAGGAACTTGCACTAACAATGTTGTTATCAGTCCATGTTAGTTTCTGTTTCATTTCGCTCAAAGGCTGCTGTTGATACACAGTTTCTTTGCAAATGCTCCTGTCTTTGTTCTTCTTTTCTAACTTCCGAAGTTCTTCAAAATATTGTCATTACTATTTAAGTAATTGCTTAACTTGGCCATGCTTGGATTTTCACTAAATTTGCAATCCACTGTTGCATCCCATTGAGGTGACAGCAGGACAATTTTCCACCTGTTCAGCAGGGATTGAAAAACTTGGGAGAAGCTGCTCGGTGCAACAAAGTCAAAGACCTTGGGACTATTTCAGAACAATGTAGTTCCTTTCCTGAACCCAGTGGCATGTTAACATGTTGATAATTGTTCCCATGTATTTTGTACACCAAGGAATCAAGTTCCAACTCTTGAGTTTGGTTGACTTCCAAGATTTAAAAAAAAACAAGGAATCACAGGTCCGTAGATTCAGTCCTCATGCTTCAATAGTCCAGGTTACTTGCTTAGCACATTTCAATATCTATACTCTGTGCTGTATGTAGTATGTTTACATTTATACAAACACTTCACATTTCTCTAGCCAAGCAGAAAGCTCATCAAAGCTTTTGCAATAATGAATAGAAAAATATGAATTAGAAAATAGTAATAATGATATTTCCCAGTTTCTTCGTCAATCTTGATGCATAAGATTGGTTATTTGTTGAAAATAGCATTACTCCATAGGAGTTCTTCAGGTAGTATCCTGGGCTCAACCATCTTCACCTGCTTCATCAGTGATCTTCCTGCCACCGTAAGGTCAGAAGTGGGAATGTTTGCTCTTAATAGCACAATGTTCAGGATCAATCGCAACTTCGCAGATGCTGGAGTGTATGTGGCCAAATGCCGCAAGGTCTGGACAGCATCCAGGTTTGAGCTGACAAGTGATAACTGACATTTATGCCAGACAAGTGCTAAACAATGACCATGTCCGACAAGACCGTATTTACCCACTGCCTGTTAACATTGTGATATTGCTATCACAGAGACTCCCATTATCACAACCCTGGGGATTACCATTGAGCAGAAACTGTACTGGACTAGTCATACGAAGATGTCTATAAGAGCAGATCAGGCTGGGAATCATGCAGAGAATAGGTCCCTTTTAAGATCAGCGAGGTCCTGTGTGTGGAGCCACAGGAGATGAGCAAGATTCTAAACAAATATTGCTCGTCAGTATTTACTGTGCAGAAAGACATGGAAGTCAGGGAAATAAATAGTGATGTCTTGAACAGAGTCCACATTACAGAAGAGGAGGTGCTGAAGGTCTTAAAACACATAAAGGTAGATAAATCCCCAAGAATAGAACAAGCTAGCAGAGGAAGTGGTGAAGGCTGATACAATTACAACATTTAAAAGGCATCTGGATTGGTACATGAATAGGAAGAGTTTAGAGGGATAGAGGCCAAATGCTGGCAAATGGGACGAGGTCAGATTGGGACGTCTGGTCAGCACGGACGAATTGGACTGAAGGGTCCGTTTCTATACTGTACACCTGTATGACTGTGAGAGTGTGTAGGAGGCCAGGGAAGAAATTGTGCGGCCCTAGTAGAGGTATTTGTGTCATCGACAGCCACAAATGTGGTGGCGGAAGACTGGAGGGTGGCTAATGTTGTGCCATTTGTTAAGAAAGGCTGTAAGGAAAAGCCAGGGAACTATCGGCTGGTGAGCCTGACATCAGTGGTTGTTAAGTTTATGGAACGGATTCTGAGAGACAGGTTCTTTGTGTATTTAGAAAGGCAAAGACTGATTAGCGATACTGAGCATGACTTTGTGTGTCAGGAATCGTGTCTCACTAACTTGATTGAGATTTTTTTGAAGAGGTGGTCAAAAAAATAGATGAGGGCTGAGCAGTAGATGTTGTCTGCACGGACTTCAGCAATACCTTTGAAAAGGTTTCGCATGGTAGACTAGTTAGTAAGGTTAGATCACATGGGAACGTAGGGAGCTGATAGCCGAGTAATATTATCACTGGACTTTAAAGCTTTTGAGATTTGTAGCTCGGGTTGTGAATGAGGTTGTAGACTTGCTCACTAAGCCAGTGTGTTTGATTTGCAGACGTTTTGTCTCCTTGCTAGGTAACATGGTCAGTGCGCCTCTGGTGAAGCATCAGTGTTCTGTCCTGCTTGTTATTTATAAGCCTCGGTTTGCTGGGGTGGCTGGCATCCCCTCCAGTTCTGTCTTTCAGTGGTTTGTATGTCAGGTCCAGTTCAGTGCGTTTGTTGGTGAAGTTCTGGTTGGAATGCCAGGCCGCCAGGAATTCCCTGGTATGTCTCTGTTTGGCTTGTGCTCTTCTGGATGCGTTGTCCCAGTCGAATTCATGTCCTTCTTTGTCCATGTGTATTGAGACCAATGAGAATTGGTTGTGTCTCTTGATGGCTCGGTGGTGTTTGTGAATCCTTATAGTCGGTTTTCTTCTGGTGTGGCCTATGTAATGTTTCTCTCAGTCCTTGCATGGTATTTTGTACATTACGTTAGTTTTATTGGTTGTGCGTATGGGATCCTTTACGTTCGTCAGTAGCTGTTGCAGGGTGGCTGTTGGTTTTTGGGCTACCCTAATACCTTGGGGTCTGAGTAGTGTTCTGGTCATGTCTGACATATCTGATGTACAGTAGGGTGACTAGTATGGCTGGCTGTGTTGTGTCTTGTTGTGGTCTGTCGCAGAAGTCACAGCAAATTGTGCTTTTTGCATATCCATTCCTTGTAAAAACTTCATATAAGTGCTCCTGTTCTGCTTTGAGCAGTCCCAGGTTGCTGCAGTGTGTTGTGGCTTGTTTGAATAACAACCTGCTATAGCTCCATTTATGGGTGCTGGGGTGATTGCTGGTGTAATTAAGAATCTGGTCCATATTTGTGGTCTTTCTGTATATGCTAGCCTGGAGGTCGACGTTGTTCTTATGTTCTACCGTAATATCTAGGAAGGATAGTCCAATGTTATTCTCCTCTTCTTTTATGAATTTTATTCCTGTGAGGATGTTTTTTATGTGTCAGTGGGTTTCTTATAATCTTGTGTTTGATAATCATGAAGGTAGCATCTACATAGCAGACCCAGAGTTTGGGTTGTATCATGGGGAGCTCTGTCCGTTCTAACCTTTGCATTACCGCTGCAATCAGCCCTGATATTGGGAATCTCATTGGGGTTGCGTTGATTTGTTTGAATATACGGTTGTTGAAGGTGAAGTGGGTTATCAGGCGCGGATCCAGCAGTTTCAGGGTGCTGTCTTTGTTGATGCAGTTGGTGTTGTGGAGTGCCTGCCTTCATGATTCATCCAGCAGTGTGGCAATTGGCTTTTTGGCTAGGTCAATGTTTATGGATGTAAATAGTTCTGGGCTGTTAATGTAGAGACCCACGTAATGTTCTGGGGATGTGGGGTTCAAATCCTGGCAGGGCAGATTGTGGAATCTGAAGTCAAAGATCTGGATCTAAGAGCCAAATGATGACCATGAAGCTCTTGTCAATTGTTGGAAAAAACCCATCCGGCTCACTATCCTCCTTGAGGGAGGGAAACTGCCATCCTTACGTGGTTGAGTTGGGCCGAAGGGCCTGTTTCCTTGCCTAATGCCTCTGTGATTCTAAGTCAGGACTGTGATGTTTGTGTGATTTCTATTTGCATGAAAGGTCTAAGCAGATGATATTTTGGGGCTTTGTTTAATTATGTTCTATGTCAATTCTTATATTTCTACAGTTTGGACTTTGAAGAATGTGCTCATAAATTATTGAAGATGGAATTTCCTGAAAGTCAAACTGTAAGTATTAATGTACATAGGCTCCAGTTATCTTTTAGATGTTGGTACGGGTGCAAATAAGATAGTTGAATGATCTTGGAACCCATATGGAACATAACTGATCTAAACTGTTGAGTCCCAAGTGCTTTCTGACTGCTGTAATACTGTTAAAAGTAGCAATTGTAATTGTACCAGCAACATTGGTATAACCTCATTGTGGAGAAGGCAAAGAAGCCAGGAGCAACAAGTGTGGAATTCTGAATGCATTTTTGAGAATGCAGAAGAAATTTATTGAAGGGGATTTAAGTTTCGGAAGTTTTATCATGACGGGTTATGTTAAATGTATACAATGGTGTGTTTCTGTGTTTATTGTTTTGAGCATATGAAGACAGTTGCAGTACCAGGCCATTTGGTCTCTCAGGCCTGCTTTGACATTAATTAAATGTTGGCTGATGTGTCTGTATTTGGAATTCAACATTCCCGTCTAGCTATGACATTCCACAGCCTAACCTCTGCCTTAAGAATATTTAATAACTTTGCGTCCACCACCATCTAAATTGAGTTGCGCAGTCTCTAACCTTCAGAGGATATACATGCCATCCCTGTCATCCCTGTCATGAAAGGGTGTGTTGTGACCCACATTGTTTGTATCATACGCAAATAACTTGGAATCAAATTTTGTTATATGTCAGAAATTTGAATAGACTGGAAACCATTTGAACAATGACATCACGAATGATCTTCATTACCTATTTTTGTCATTATGAATTTTGTATTAAATCCACAGAAAATTTGATTTTTCCTTTTTTCACAATATTAAGTTTTTTTTTGTACTATCAGATATTATGCAAATATCTCTTTTTGAATAGAAGTTAACCAGAATAGTGTATTTCCCTTCAGCATCAATTAATTTGCTTTTTAAAAGGTAAAACATTTGTTCCACAATCACGATGAATGCCTATTTTCCAGTTAATAATTGCCGAGCTGTCTCCTGGAATGACTGCTACCTGCTTTGATTGCTTCACGAGGCATTTCACTGTTCTTCTTACCATTCCAGTTCTGTACTTTATTTCATGAAATCTAGGCCATGTTAAGCTCATTTTTTGGTTCAACTTAACAGCACACTTAAGAATCATTATATCCCTTAATAAAATTTTTCATGTCCTCTGCATACAAAAAACTCTGTCGTCATTGTTTGTAGCTCTGATGCCAAGTGTCAGATGGTTGACTTTGTGCTCATGCCCTTTACCGGCACCTTGTTAACCAGCTCTAATATTGTTAAAAAATTTCCACCTTCACTTGTCTCCCAACTATTTCTATGTCCATAATATTGTCAAATTGCCATGTGCCTCGAAGTCTTGAGAGAGAGGAATCCAGTCGATTCCAACTCATCTTGCAAAATAAACACTGTTGACTAATGCTGTTGTATCAACAGTGAAAATTTCCTCAAAATGTCAGGAAGACTGAAACTCTTATCTTATGTTCCCAGTCCAATTACTGTTCCCTAGTGATTGTTTCACCCTGAATCAGGCCATTCGTAAATGATTTGTTTTTGACCCTGATATGAGGATACTGTTGCCTCACAGCACCAGGGACCCAGGTTTGATTTCAGCCTTGGGCGACTGTCTGTGTTGAATTTGCACATTCTCCCCGTGTCTGCGTGGGTTTCCTCCGGTTTCCTCCCACTGCCCAAAGATGTGCAGGTTAGATGGATTGGCCATGCTAAATTGTCCATAGTGTCTAAGGTGGGAAATGCAGGGATAGGGTCGGGGGTGGGTCTGGTGGGATGCTCTTCGGAGCGTTGGTGTGGACTCGATGGGCTGAATGGCCTGCTTCCACGCTGTAGAGGTTCTCTGAAATCAATGAGCTTCCAACTTCAGATTTCCTCCATTGCCAAGGCAGCCTTTGCCATTTTGGTGACATTGCATGCCTTCGTTCCTGCACCTGCTCACCCAAGGCTAAAATTATCATGTAAATTTTTATTACTCCAGACTCAACTGTTTCATTGGTTTCACACCTTGGCTTCCCACCTTGGCCCCTATGTAAACTTGAGATTAAGCAAAACACTTCTCCCTGTATCCTAACCCATATCAACCTCTGTTTACCAATCATTCCTTTCTCATTGATTTACATTGGCTCCTTGTCCAACATCCTTGTTTTCAAATGTTCTGTCGTGGCACTTCTCTGTCGTGTACTGTCCTCCATCCGTCTGATATTTCTGCATGGTTGTGATTCTGGCCCATTGTGCATCCACAATTTTGTTTGCTCCACCAATGCCAGTTGGATGTTCTCAGAATAAAACTGACCTATATGACCAAACCGTTCCTTGTCTTGACTGTCTAACAACACCTTAAATGACTTGATGTTAAACTTAATTTAGCCACATCACTGAACCAAATGCAGCTTGTAAAGAAAAATGTAACTGACTTAATTTTAGAATTTTTCTGAACCACATTGAAATGAATTAATTCTGTTATGTCGTATATCAATGTGGGTTTTTCACAATAATTGTGGAACAAAGATTGATTTAATTTGCGTTCAATACGTTTCAACATCTGCTTTCAGGTTTACACAACTATTATTTTAAACTGGAAACAGAGTCCATTTTTGGAGTTATCTCTACTCTTAGCAAAATGTGTCAGCATTTATTATTTTTGTTTTTCTTGGGCTCACTGAAGGGATTATATTCTGCCTGTACAAAGAAATTATTCCATCTGGTGTTGCAAGATATAATATGTATGGCTCCAAGCATCTTCAGATGCTTCATCAATGGCCTTCTCTACATTATAATCTCAGAAATGGGAATGTTCATTCATGATTGCACTAGGTGCACCATTTGCAACTCATCAGATATTGAAGCATACCGAATCCACATGTGCTAAGACTTGGCCAACATCAAGACTTGATCTGATGACTGGCAACAATCTTTGAACTAAATTGATGTGAACTACTAAATTGAGTACCAATATTTTTTCATGTTGTTTTGATGAATATTTCATGAAACAAAGCTTAACTCTTCGCATTGATTACAAGACAGGGTGCCAACTTGAAAACAGACATCTGATGAGAGCAAAACACATTTTTGTAGAAAGAAATGACTGGCCATAGCTGTTTTATTTCCTGTCAATAAAAAGCTTAGAAAGTTCCCCAAGACTAACTTCAAGTTCAACACAGTTGTGACAGTAGATCACAGTGCAAATTTGCTGTAAGGTCAGCGTCCTTAATAGCTTAGTGAGCTATGGGATAATTTGAGAGATTCTTGGTTGAAATCTCAAAGAAGCAGTAAATTAATCTTCAGTTGCCAGTTCAAATGTGACCAGTGGTGCAGCAACAAGTTAAGGAGTTTCTGATTTGATTGCTGTGTTACTTAACATATTGGGAGCAGGTGTAGACTTGATGGCCCCCGCTCTGTCATTCAGCAAAATGTTGCTTAGTGGACCTTAAATCTGCAAAAACAATATACAATAGGGGCTACAACAGTAAAGCGGGTACAGGAGCAGAAGGACCTGGGTGAATACGCACACAGGTCGTTGAAGTTGACAGGACAAGTGGAGAGGGCAGTTAATATAGCAGTGTGTCCCTGGCTTTATTAATAGGAGCATAGAGTAAAGGAGCAAGGTGGTGATGTTGAACTTGTTTGAGGCATTTGTTGGTCCTTAGCTGGAGTAATGTGTACAGTTGTGGGCACTACGTTGAAGAAAAGATGTGAATGCATGGAAGAGAGTTCAGAAGCAATTTACAAGACTGGTTCCAGGAATGAGAAACTTCAGTTATGTGGATTGGCCGTAGAAGTTAGGACTGTTGTCCTTGGAGGGAAGAAGGCTAAGAGGATATTTGAAAGAAGTTTTCAAAATTATCAGCGGGCTGAATAGAGTAGATAGGGAGAAGCTGCTGCTGCTTGCAAAAGGAAAAAGAGTAAGACCGTATAGATTTAAAGTGATGTGCAAAAGATGAAAGGGTTATGTGATTTTAAAAAATGCCATTTTCACATGCGACTGGTTTGAGTATGGAATGCACTGTCTGGAAGTGTGGTGAAGGCAGGTTCAGTTGGAGCATTCAAGAGGTTATTTGGACAGAAACATTTTCCAGAGGAAGAGGGGAAACATCAGGAGATTGTGAACTAAGTAATGATGTTCGTTGAAGACTGCTGTAGGCAAATGATTTTCCTTGATCTCTCAGTAACCCCAAAATCACTACCACCACTTGGGTATTTCTGGCTCATGCTGAAAAAGGATGGTAACACAAGTCTGAAATGGGGTCTTTAAAATTCATATCCGAGGACACCCAGATCCCATTGTACCTCAGAGTTCTGTATTGTTTTTCTGTTCTTCCTGCCAGACATGATTCTCCACACGATAGAATCTTGGAATCCCAGCAGTGCAGAATGAGGCCATTTAGCCCATCCAGTCGACACTGACCCTCCAAAGAGCATCCCACCCAGACCCCCCACCCCTGTAATTTGCCAGTCCATCTAATCTGCACATCCTTTGGACTAGGAAGAAACTGGAGCACCTGGCAGTAATCCATGCATACTTGGGGATAATGTGCACATTACTGTGTTTGTTCTTTCACTGACTTAAAATGACTCCTCCTGTATGTGCAGTAGAAGCAGCAGTCCACGACTAAACTCGGCTTCTTTTAAGTTCTGTGGTATACACTTAGAGCTTGTTGCTGCAGAATGTACTGTGCAGTGCTTGCACTGCAGAGGAACCACCTCCGGGAGTCTTCACATAAAAGTTCAATTTCAGATTTTCATATTGAAAGTAACAATGTGTCTTCCACGTGACATTATTTCGAACCGGCAAAATTTTGCCAGTGCCTGATGCACCTGCTAAATCAAAGCCTCATGTTGCTGATGAGTGCACACAAACTCAGTAGCAATTTAAAACCCCTTCTACTTCAAAACAGTGCAGTTTTCAAAAGGGAATAGAACCTAAAAAACAAACCATGATGAAAATACACTAAACGCAGCGTTCTTGTACTGATAACACGAACTGTAATGGAACTTTAGTCTTCAACTATTATAGACTGATGTTGTTTTGAACTGTACGAAAAGTTCAGAAGTGAACAAAGTGTCTTAAGTTCAGGAACTTCTTAATTTAAAAGCGTAATAAAGTTTGCGTAATATCCAACCGGTTTATTCTATTAGCCCTTTTGCCTCAATTTGTGAAGGTATCTGGTTCAAGCTTCAATCCAGGCCTTGAGCGTACATTTCAGTTCAGTTCAGTTCAGTATAGTATATAATGTTGCTTTATCAATGATGGTATCTATTGGATAAGATGTTAAACTTTGACTAGTCGTTCTGTTTTGGGGATGCAGGTGCATTTTGAATATTCCAAAACATTATCTGAAGATGAGGATGGAGTGTGACCAATTATTGTATCCTTAACTCGCAATTCCACTGATAAACCATGCTGGCAAAGCTAGTCTCACATCCATTTTTGGTCATGTGGCTATTTTGTGGGATGTTGCAAATACAACATACCAATTTCAGGACATGGCAATGCACTCCTGAGTTTTTATTGAGATTTTAATCACTTATTCTCAAGTAAGAGCATCCCTTCTCTGCATTTAGTTTTGAAGCCACGAACTAGTACTGTACTGGTGCCACGCTGTAATAGCTATCATTGTGCGAGTTATGCAATCATTAACTTTATGCACTGAGTAACAAGATTTTGCATACAAATGTGTTGTTAAAGAGAAAGTTTACAAATTAGTATCACAGAGGGTATGATCATAAAAAATTCTGAATGAGTTACACTTAACTGAGGCCTCCAAAAGATGTTACAAGTTTAGCTGCCATTCACCAAAGAATTAATTTTTCATGTGTAGCTGCCATTTTGTACGATCAACTGTGCATGATTTTAAAATGTAAGTGCAATCCATACAGGGAGGGACCCAACAGGAAGCCCAGAGTGGTGAGAATGAATAGCTCACTCTGAGAGTCCATTGCAGGAGGGCCTGTTAGTAGAAAATTCCATTTAAAGTGCTGTTCCTTAAAACTGTTTCCTGCTGAGTAAGGCCCTGTGAAACTTAACTTCATTTTTATCTTTGATTCCCTTAGGAATTAATGCTTAAATTAAATTTGGTTTTTGAGGAAAGCAGCTGCATCTTGAAGGAAGGGCTTCCTGTATACTTGACTGTTCTGAGTTTTTATCAAGTTTTGTGATAGACAAAAATAAAAATTGGACATTGAGTAGAAGATAGATGGAAGTGATGAAATGTAATCGAAATGAAAGGTAATCACTTCACATTATGAAAATTCAAGTTGCTGCCAGCTTGCATAGATCCCATATGAACAGCCCAGCTGTCAACTTTTCCGAACCTTAATGCCTGATTTTTGTCACATTAAAATGAGTACATAGCAATATTGAGAAAGATTTTGTGTAGTTCAAGTCTGGAAAAATATGGTCTTGTAATTTTACTGTGAGGTAGGCGTTGCCAGCATGGTTCTTCATTGCACTGCCTAAAATGTCATATACTCTTTTTTATCAGAAGATGCAGATTCATTAACTCAGATGTTCTTATAGCAAGCTCCAGTATCTTTTGAATGATGGAAAATTAATCAATGTAGTTTTTGATAATTATTGTGAATAGATCCTTTCTATACTTGTTTACTGGTTAGTCAATGGACCTTGCAAGAAAAAGCTCAATGAGCCAAGCATTTAAAGCTGGGAATTTTGTGCAGCATATTTTATTCAAGTATTATTGAAGTACAGTAAAACTTCCAACTTGTAGTAAATAGATGTGTCTGCAAATAGTATACACAGTAAGCTAAAATACTGGGGTTAGTTGTACAGTTCATCCTGTGCCAAGATAAAATGGAATGTGTATCTTTGTACTGTGTAGTTTGAATCCTTTATCTACACTCACACGTCCTAAAGCAGTTCTGTGCAGTCTTGGCATATTATGGGAAACAAACATTGAAATTTGGCATTCCCTGCAGTTGCAAAAGACTAAAAGCATTTCTTATTCAGGCAGGACATTGAGGTAACAAGAGGGTCTGATAACTGAATGGACCTTCCTTATACTTTCCCAGAAAGACCTTAAACGGTGGTCTTTCCCCACTATGCCTTGGGCAGCAGTCGCCCCCAAGCTGTGGTGCATCTCTTAGCACATAATCCTGGACCTTAGAATGCGCAGTCTGCAACACTCAGTTGAGCTCAACTCATTACACTGGAAGACCAACAAGTTTCTGGCAGACCAGAGAACATCTTTTACCAAGTTGATGGTCCTCCAGGTAGTGTTTGTCTCGGTATGCGTTCCAGGGAACAGCCCAGAGAGCACAGAGTAGTGCGTCACGGAGCCACTCGGGATGAACTTTGAGAAAAACCACTGCATCTTTCTCCAGACCTTCTTTGCAAAGGCACATTCCATAGAGATGCACATACAGAAGCCGTAGCCAACCATTACTTAGACTGAGTCCCAATGCTCATTGTCACTCTGGACAATAAATGTTGATCAACTAATTGGTTATGGAGAGCATCGCATCCAAAGCTGATCCTTTCCTTCTGTAATATCCACAATGCAAGAAAGTTTGTGGTTGAATGAAATTTATAGGAACTTGAACTAATTCACCAACCTTCCCACCCCACAAAAGGTTTAGGCCCAGGCTAGAAGAGCGAAGGACAGCTGAATCTTAATGTGTCCTCACCTGTAAGCAGCTACTCAGTTACCTATTGGAACTTGACTCTGGAATTTTAAAGATTCTATTGCTTTGTCATCTGTGGAATCAAACTTCTATCCACAAAGGGCACTGAGGGAGCAATGCATCAATCAAAGCAGCACTCTTCATCTGATATATCATGGTGATGAGCACCGAAACCAGAAACTCGAATATTTTCCATTCCACACCACACAGGCCTTGATCTTGCTATGTTAATGTTTCCAAGTACTGAACTGCTTTTTGATGGCACTTTTGAAAGAGATGGTAACACTATATAAGTATTATATAGCTGGTTTCTTTACAAATCTAACTTGTGTTGATTATTAAACTGTAAATCCAGTATAACTAAAAGAGGTGGATATTGACAGGTGTGCCATCAGTAACTCTGAGAAAATATAGGTTAATGGCATGGGCAAACAGATGAGGCATCAAGAGCTATCGTTATGAAGAAAGCTAGCATATTTGATAGTTTGTGAAGAGATTTAAAATGGTAAGACATGAAATATACTGGGTATCAACTCATTTTAAACTGACATTGCAATTGAACAGCTAGAGCAAGTAAAATGGACGCATATTCATAATTAATTTGGACTATTCATGTGTAAAATACAAAAAGAACCTTTTACCATGCTTGTTCTTTGTAACTCAGCTGACTACTTGATTTTGCGCAGAAGTGGCTGAAATGAAACTCAGGTGGGGTGAAAGAAACTGATCATTTTTCACTGCTCACAACCATTCTCAAATGGTGTTTAACCATTTCCTTCGCTCTTTCCTTATTTTGCTTGATGATGATCATCAGATTACTTTCATCTGTTTAAAAACGAAGGGTTAAACCAGTTTCTTTTCTATCTTTACAGAAAGAATTATGCAACATGATTCTAGACTGTTGTGCACAACAGAGAACATATGAAAAGTTTTTTGGTCTTTTGGCTGGGGTGAGGCATTCATTGCAATTCTCTGTATTGTCATTGGTAATTTGAACTGTTTAGCACCGTCTGTATTCAGTTTCAATTATTAGCAAAATAATTGGCCAAATTATTAAAGTATGTATTCAGGAATTCTAACTGCAATTTTTCTCCAACAATGTGCTCTTTCATTTTTTCATAGTTGAGCATTGATAATTTTAAACATTTGTCCTTGAATATGATTTTGCTATGAGATAGTAAGAACTGCCGATGCTGGAGTCAGAGATAACACAATGTGGAGTTGGAGGAACACAGCAGGCCAAGCAGCATCAGAGGTGATCTGATGCTGCCTGGTCTCCTGATTTTGGTGTATTGGTTCTGGTTAATGTCGCTTTGAACACGCAACAATTCTCGTAATATTTCATTGTTTTTGCAGCGCTTTTGCATGTTGAAGAAGGACTATATGGAGGCATTCGAAGGAATCTTCAAGGAGCAGTATGAAACAATACATCGCTTAGAAACAAATAAACTACGCAATGTAGCAAAAATGTTTGCACATCTCTTGTACACTGATTCAATTCCATGGAGTGTAAGTTAGAGTGAGCCAGTAGTGACATTGCACTTCATTGTGGTTTCTTTAAGAACATGGTGCTTTTATGTTTATCCACAGTTATGGACAATAACCCAATGAGGCTTTCAGGTTAAGTGAGGTAGAAATACCTTTACCGTATATCACAAAATTTGATCTTTCTCTACAAATTGTCGTGGGGGAAATGCATAATTGGGATGGCACATGATGTTACGGATTACTCAGTTATCACTCTATTTCAAATAAAGCTGGTTGGACCAGTTCAGTGATGTAACTTGTACATAATTCACAACTGAGCATAGCATGTTTCAACTGCATTCAATTCCTTACAAGAGTTGTGTAGCATCCTGCATAAGTTTAATGTCCTTCGTAAATGCTGTGTTTTCTACAACTCTATTACCTGTGTTGATACTTGCGTCAACTCCTTTTCATCCATCACTTGCGTTGTCTCTGCCAGATAGTGTGTTGATTTGAAAATTGTTATCCTTTTTTAAAATCCCTCTTTGGCCTCACCCCCTCCCTATCTTTAAACTGCTCCAGGCCCACAAGCCTCCAAGGTATCTGAGCTTTCCTAATTCTTGCCTCTTGGGCAACCTCAGTTTTAATAATGCTGGACCAAAAGCTGCATTGGCCCTCAGCTCTGGAATTCTTCGTCTAAACTTCTTCAACTTTAACTATCTTGCTTCCTTTGACATGTTCCTTCAAAGCTTTTTCTTTCACCAAACTTGTGACTATCTGCCCTAATCACTTTAGTTGGCACAATGTCAAGTTTTGCTTTATGATGCACCCATGAAGTGCTTTGAGATGTATTGTAATGTTAAAGGAGTTGTACAAAAACTTCATGAATCAGTGAGTTTTAATAGTGCTAATGTTAAAATATGTCAGCTGAGCATAGTACATCGCAATTTTCTACCAGCTACCATTTTGCTTATGTCTTAGATATCTAATTGGACTGACATCTGAGAGAGAACTTCAAGGATCAGTCCGTTTCATTCAGCCAGGAGCAGGGGAAGAACTGCATTTAGCTAAAGAGCTGCAGTTAGCTTGCTCAGAGAGGCCGCCTTCACAGCAGCTGTGCTGAACATTTTAAATTGGTCCAAAATTGTAGAAATACTTCCTAAAGGAATTACATCTTGTTGAATCTCAAGCTATGGTGAATTGAAATACATAGAAGTTACAACAGAAAACTGGCCCAACCAATCTGTTTGACTGTCACTGAAATGCTCATCCACTGTACTGTCTGCCCCAAGATGCTTTGTCTTCCACTTCTCAGCCAACTGTTTGACCTGTTTTTAAACATTGGTATCACCTCTACTTCAGACAGTCATTTTAACAAAGTATTTGATAATTTTAAACTTTCTTCTGTACTAAATTTCTTGTATTTAATTTTAAATCTGAGACACTTACTCAAAACTACTTTGTAACTACCAACCATCAGTTTTTGTGTTTTGATTCCCGTCACAAAGCAATTTCAAGCATATTTCGTCTGTTTAACTGAAATGATCTCAAAATCTGAACATCCTTTATATTTGTATTTTCTCATGTCCAATAGCTTCTGCATGATTTCCGCAGTACTGACTATCTCAGTAAAATTTCTACAATGTGACGCTGTACACTGTGCATGACTCAAACTATAATCTTAAAGATTTTTATATAAATTCACAATCAACTTGTATATTCTGTACTTCTGACCATAAAACATGAGGATGCCGTTAATTTTATTTAATGCTGCTATCCTTGAATATGTCTGCAGAAAGACGCTTTGATGGCAACAATTACTTTTACGTTTTCCAGTTTTCATGTTTATTTGCATATGGAGGGGAACCAAAAAAAGTGAGCATTTCTTTCACTTCTGAGGAACTCGTACTACTTTTAAGTTTTGCAGCTTTCACTGAGTTAGTTCACTATGACACTTTTACTTTTGAAAGTGGGTAGATTCATACACTGAACTTGGATCATGGCTCACTCAGTCCTGAGGAGGTGAGCAGACAACATTCGGGTTACCTACCCATTGTTTACCTATTAAGAACAAGTATTTTAGAATAACTTTGGAAATATGATGTTCAAGTATTTTGTACCCTTATGTTGTGGTTATTCTCCTTGTGCATTTATGTGTTGCAAATTTATGATATTGCTGGCAGATGCAATGTTGGAATTTTAACAAGTTGGTAAATTTATCATAACATTTAGGGTAAAGTCTCAGTTCAATTTTTCTCCCTTTTTTGCAGGTACTAGATTGTATCCATTTAAGTGAAGAAACAACAACATCTTCCAGCAGAATCTTTGTGAAGATCCTTTTTCAAGAGCTTTGTGAATATATGGGGCTACCCAAATTAAATCAAAGGCTACAGGACATGTAAGTGCAAACTATATTGCATGATAGTTTGTTCTTGTGACATTTAAATCCTTGGTGTCATAACTACAACAGTTAACTGATTTGGTTCCAAACACCCTTTTATTTGACAAATATGTCTATTTATTTCAAAAGCACACATTGTGAAACAGTACTTAGAAACTTTGTTCTAACTGAGGATGTGTGAAAGATTGGACAGGCTGGTACTGTATTCATTGGAGTTGAGAAGAATTAAATATATATGATACTGAGGGGATTTGACAGGGTGGATGCTGAGGTGATACTTTCCCATTGTGAGATAGACCAAATCTAGGGCACACAGTTATCAATAGAGGAGATGAGGAATTTTAGAATCTTGAGTCTTTGGAACTCTACCACGGAGTGCACCGGAGGTGAGGGATTAAATACTTTCAAGGCAATGCTAGGTAGATTTGTGACTAACCACGAGTTAAAGGATAGGTGGAGTTGAGGAATTGAGGCCACAATCATTTTACTGAAAGGCAGAGCAGAGAGGGCTGAATGGTTGAATTTGTATTCATGTCAGTGCCCCAGTATGAATAATTCGGTTGAACTTGACTGAACTCAAATCGCATGCAACCTTTCCAGCTCACAGGAAGAAGAGAATTCTACATTTCTTGGCATCACAAGAAAGCAGGAAAATCCTTTGTAACCCTTGGTTCAAATACTAACTTGTTTTTGGTTCAGAAAATTATGGGCAAATGAGGTTTTAAACCCTAGGTGGTTTCTTATTGCTTAAGAGTGACTTGAATCAAGTCTCTTAACTGGTAAGCCACTCCAGAGATGGCCCTGATAAGAAATCCCCTGTGTCTTAAAGCATCTCCACGGTAAATAGCAAACACAGTGACTTGAAATGAGAGCAGAATACTGTGGATGCTAGAAATAAACAAACAAAATGCTGGAGAATATCAGCAGGTCTAGCAGCATTTGTGAAGAGAGAAAAAGTTGATGTTTTGAATCTGATATGATGACTTAAGAACTCGAGTCCTACCAGACTGGAAATATTACCTCTGTTTCTGTCATGACTTAAAATGATTTTGACATTTGCTGTGGAGTCAGCCAAGCCTGAATGTTCTCGAAGTTGAACGTGCACGTATCGTGGTATTATCAGGTCCAGGAGACTTGAAACAGTGCCCGAGCTGTTTTGAAATTCAGTGATGGAGCTGTTCTGGTTTGTCTGCTCATCCCTAAAACGTCTTAGCTGTAAAAAGTGATATGTCCAATGGAAAGCATTCACTTTTTAAGAAGTCATAAATGGTTCCTTTAGAAAGTGCAGAAGAACTTTACAATACTTTGACAAGCTCCCAAGAAATGCATAATTAGTGTATTTTGAAGTACACCATTTATATTCTGAAGGGCTTATTATAGGGCATAGCCAGTGTGCCCAGTAGGCAATAGGTTCCCAATAGCCCTTCGGTATCGCTCTGTCAAAATCCTGAAAGTCTCTTTCTAATCAAATTATGGGTCCACCGAGAACAAATGAACTGCAGCGATTCAAGAAAGCAGCTCACCACCACCCCCTCAGGGGAAAATCGAGATGAACAATAAATGTTAGTCCAGTACATCCAGTGAATGAAAAAAGGGGAAAAATGCGTGCAGCAGCACAGTAATTGGTCATGTGTACAGCAGACGACAGGTTGGGTCCATGCCAAGCAACCTTGCCTTTGAAATGTCTATGTCAACGTTACAAGGACCATGTGCTGCAACAGATCATGAGCAATAATTGAAATTAGAGAGAATATAGGTCATAACTGTTAAAGTGTTATAATGTTATAACTGAAAGAAACCTTTTAACTTGTGCAGAATATGTTTTTAAATGTTTCCAAGGCCGTCTGAAATAAATATAGGATTGAATTGTAACAAATTTACATCTGAAGCTGTATTTATGCAAAGTTTGAAATGAAACTGCTCTTTCCCATTAAAATTTGATTTTAGCTTACTTGATTAGACAAAAACAAACAAGAAATTCATGAAGTTTGTTGTTTAGCACTTGAATATGTTGTAGAAATTTTTTTGATTTTATTTTAATTGAAAGTATATAATTTGATTATAGTGAGATTCAAAAAGCAGAAGAATTGACATAATTTCATGATTAAAATTAATTTTTTATCAAATGCTTTTCCCAGGACATTACAGCCTTTCTTTGAAGGTCTCTTTCCAAGGGATAATCCACGCAATACGCGATTTGCTATCAATTTTTTTACCTCTATTGGTCTTGGAGGACTAACGTATGTATACCTGCCTATTTCTACTTATAATTTCTTTTCACCCAGTATTTAATTTAATTTGTGTTTGGCTCCAATAATATTTGTTTTACGCTTCCACTTCAGAGATGAATTACGAGAGCACTTGAAAAATGCACCAAAAATAATAATGACCCAGCGACAGGATGTTGAATCATCAGATTCTTCTTCGTCATCTTCATCCTCGTCTGATTCAGATTCAGATTCATCGACTGATTCAGGATCTGAAAGCAGCAGTAGCAGCAGCAGTGACAGTGACAGCAGCTCTGGATCCTCGAGCGACAGTGACTCCTCATCTTCCAGCAGCAGCAGCAGCGTTTCAGGTTTGTACTTTTTCAGTGTTTTTGTCCTGCTGCCCCACACACCCTACACAAAAAGAATTCAGTCATGCATCCCTTTACTGTCTAAAGACACAAATGATCTTTCTTCAGTACTACTGATTTTGCTGTCAAATTTATGCCTAAATGTTGCACAAAAACCGTATTTTGAAATTCCTTTGATTCACTTTCCACGGTAACTGAGAGAATCTTTCAAGTTTGGCTTTTTCATGTGTGATTGGAAAAGTACAAGTATAATATGAAACCTCTACAGTATTGTCAACATTGGAAAATTCATTTTATTAAATGATAATCTGTTTTCCCAAATGTGATATATTTGGAGACTGGGCTTCTAATGCAGTTTCTAATAATTCTTAAACTGAGGTGTGGTGTATTTGGGAAATTAAGCATTTCAAGAGGCATTTCATATCTTCGAAATGTTGGAGCTGAAACCTAATGGACATTGTTTTGCAAAGACTGTATTCAGATGCAGGAGCTTGACATTTGTACCAATTGAACAGTTACGGGACACAGGCTGTACAACATGGTTTAGCATTGTAACGTTTTCAGATTGTCTGCCAAAGGTTTTGGAAACATTTTAGCATTCCAAGCCCAAAATCCTTAAATTAAAATGCTCACCTTCAGATCTCTGAATTATTTCCATTTTCTCTCTCATTGTTTTCACCTTCCCTTTCCCTTCAGCTGAAAATATTGACTGTTAGTTGACGGATCATTCCATGGCAGCTGTTGTTTTGATAAATTTCTCCAATTGCTACCGCTAATTTCTAAAAGCAGTGATTTAACCTTCCTTACTGTCAAGGGATAAAGACCAATTTACTGCCCATGCCAGCTTCAGCTAAGATCAGTAAATTTGACAGTGTTCCCTTTTGCCTTTCCTTTTGACATGTTTCCATTCCAGTGGACTAGTATTTGGGGTGAATTCTCTGGTTTTGGTCTTATTATTTATTGATAAATGCAGTAAACTGAAGATCTCTAACGTTCTCTTGTGGAATAAGAATGCCAAAATACAAATAGCAAGCATATGAGTAGAATATTGCTTTTGACCTTAATTGAACAACTTTGCCCCGCAATTTAGTTTCACATTATGTATTGAGAATAGGAGTTGGGCAGGTATTTTCTACTGTTGTGCTGAAAGGTTTTAACTTTTTTTCAGTTTAGATAGAACATAAGTTATTGACAGGTATTTTTTTGTTAATATCTGTTCATTGTTTGTGCATATAACAATTCTCATCTGTTGAGTCAAAAGAACAAGTTGGCATTTATAAAGTGCTGTTTAGTGGAGAATAGCATATACAATGTAACTCGTACAGTTTCAGTTATCTAACATTTTCAAAAGTATGTAAATTTAATTTGTAGTGCAAATCTGAAACTGAACTAATGCCATCAGAAATTGTGTTTTCATTCTCTTGATATGCTTTATGACAGATAGACTGTGATAGACAGGTTGAGTTTAACTGAACCATTATACTGAAGTGCAAAAGGAAAAAGTTAGAAGGTGTATCTTTAGTAAAGCCACAGATGGCTGCACTCTGTGAATCAGTTTGACTTGACTTGACCTGAACAGACAGATCCTTAACACCAAATGGATCTCTATAGCCTGTCAAACTGAGCATGGGTGAGCTTCTTTACTGTTACTTCTGTGTGCTCAATTAAATTGATTTTCTAATATACCATTGAATTGATGTTCCTATTTGTCTTCTGAATTTTTGAAACAGATATTGGAAAGTGTAATAACTTCATGCTATGACAGCTAAATTTGTTTTTAGCTCTCCGGCTAATATTTTTCATGAGTGGGACAGGTAATATTGCACATTTAACTGAGGGATGATAAAAAGTATCAAGTAAGTAAATGTGACTCCACGGGCAAATTATTCTGAACAGATGAGTTCCATTTACTTTTGGTGTGGTTGAAATTGAAGAAAATGGATTGAAGACTCATTAAATACTGATAAATTTTAGTATTAAATAGGCACTAAGAAGTGAAGAAAGTAATGTAAATTTATACATTTATACACAATGAGATTATCTAATAGTCCTGAACAGCTGCAAGCAATCTGTTGAAACCACTGTTCATATCCACTGTCTTAATAAATCTGAGCCATTGGGAGAATATTGTTTTGTAGAAGGTGATATTACTTCTCCAGCTTCCCCAAATGCATTTCGTTAACATGCAAGTTATGATGCACCTAAACTGCATTTTATCCCAGATTCTAAAATATGTACAAGGACTGAGTTACTGAACTGAACAACTCAATCTGTTGTAATGCATTTTTCTGGAAAGTTCTAGGGAACTATATTTCTTTCACTTTTCCCTGGCCACAAGGTAAATTTCATATTTACTGCTTTGCTGGTGCATTACAATGTGAAGCCCAGTTTTGTTAATTCTGCAGTTATGTGGTAATAAAAGAGGTGTTTGTGCATTTTGAATTCTGATGCCCCAGTTATTTCTTTGTTTTTGTAAATTCTAATTGAAATTGTGATTAAAATAATATAACTACAATCAGCGATTAGGCTGAAATTCAAATTAGCATACAGACAGATGGATGCTAAATGGCAGCTCCTCATTTGGCATGTACAATTAATGTAATTTAGTTTGAATTTGAAATAAAGTTTGTAAATCTACCTATATCTTACAGAAGTACATATATCTCCATTTGTGATAATGTAGCCAAACAGGAAAACATTTAAACATATACATTTACAGTTATTGACTTCTTTTCTTAACAGATGATTTAAATTCAAAGAGCAAGAAGGTACAGAATAAAAACAAAGAGCAAGAAAAGGCGGACAGTAGAAAACAACCAAGTGAAAGAGAGCGATCTGGAAAAGAGCAGGAAAGCAAGTATTGTGGCAGCAGTGAGGAGCAGGAAAGCAAACTAGATAGAAATAGTGGCAGAACTTACAGACAATCCAGAGACAGAAGAGATGAATCGACGAGGCATGATCGAGAAGAAATACATGAACGAGATCGGAAATGTTCCAATCGGGACAGAGGTCGTGACAGAAACAGAGACTTCACAGATAAACGTATTGAAAGCAGAAAAGACACGAGAAACCATTCTCGTTCTGAAAATGACCGAAACAGCTCCAGGAGTAAAGATAACCATGATCACTACAGTCGAAGAAGAGAAAAGTCAAAATCTAAAGAGAGAAGTCGCAAGGAAATGACCTCAAGAAACAGTGAGGAGGACCGCCCCAAAAATGGAGTGGATAAGCGATCAGGAAAGCATGACCGTCAGGAGAGCAGATATTCTGAGCGCTCTAAGGATTACAGAAAGGACGAAGATAGGTGCAGAGAAAGTTCCCCAAGAAGACACTAAATAGAATTTAGTGCTGTTATTTGGAAAAACTGCATTGCCAAAGCTCTTGGGGAAGTATCAAGGCCACAGCAAAAAGAGAAGGAACCACGTCTTGCATAGAACTGCTGATCTGTATGTAGTTTCCACTGGAACCTTACAAACTGCTATTTCCAGTTGTCATATTTTGTAATTAATAAAAAAAAAATCTGCATTTCAAATAAATTCTGAGGAAATACCTTCAAACAATTTTTCCTTTTGGACAAATCTGAAAGATGTGCAGATTTATTTTGTGGACAGTGATATCTTTGATAATGCATTTATAGAGGATTTGACATTCTCTTGCTCCATGTAAATGTTTTGTTTGTCAATTGAAATAAAAATCGTGCAGATATGTCACACCTGTGAAGAATTTTATCAAGCATCTATATAGTTCAATTTGTATTATGTTTCAGTTTTAGTAAGGTCTGTTTTTACCATTAATGAGCAAGGTTAAAAATCAATGTCAAACAAATAGATCCTTGAGTTTGGTAAGTAGATGTATTTTTTTTTATTTAAAGTACGTACTGTGAAGTTAATTAAGTCGAATTGGAAGTATGCAAAACGTGAATTTGAGATAGAAAGAAAAAGCTATATCCAGAATAGAAGTTGTTTTGCTCACAGTCAATATGTATAGTAGAATTTAGGATTATTACTTCAAAGTGCCTTTTCTGAAGTAATGGCAATGGGCATTGACTGCTGTAAATTTATGGGTGGATTGGTCAAGTCAGTATAAGTCAGTTCAAAGCACTAACATTGCACTACAACTTAAATGAAAGGTGTTAACGTACTTAAGAATGCTTAAAATATAATCCTGCTCATTCTATGATTTCACTATAAAGTTTGATTTTACTTATACAAACATAAAATTAGAGTGTGTTCAGAGCAGTATTGTGGAAACCAAAAGGTTACCATTTACTACTGAGATTTCTCAACTGAATCATAGAATCTCTACAGAGTGGAAGCAGGTCATTCAGCCCATCAAGTCCACACTGATCTTCTAAAGAGCATCCCATCCAGACCCACCCCCTACCCTATCCCTCTAACCCTGAATTTCCCATGGCCAATCCACCTAACCTACACCTCTTTGGACTGTAGGAGGAAACCGGAACACCCGGAGTAAACCCACGCAGACACAGGGCAAATGTGCAAACTCCACACAGACAGTCGCTCAAGGGTGGAATTGAACCGGGTCTCTGGCACTGAGGCAGCAGTGCTAGACACTGTGCCACCATTCTGCCGAAATGCTAAGGACATCTCATGGTGTTCGTACCCTTTATATATTTAGAAAGCCTGGTTAGTAAGTTTGCGGATGATACCAAAATTGGTGGTATAGTCGACAGTGAAGAAGGTAATCTAAGATTTGAAAGGAATCTCGATCGCTTGGGTCAATACACTGAGCAGATGGAGTTTAATTTGGATAAATGTGAGGTCTTGCATTTTGGTAAAACAAATAATGTCAGGTCTTATACAGTTAATGGTAGGACCCTGGGTAGTGTTAGCAAACAGATATTTAGGAGTTCAAGTACATAGTTGTTTGAAAGTTGCATCGCAGTTGGACAGGGTGGTTAAGAGGCATTTAGCACACTTGCCTTCATTGCTCAAGCCATTGAGTATAGGAGTTGGGACATTGTGTTAAGGTTGTACAGGACATCTGTGAGGTCAGTTTTGGAGTACTGTGTATCGTTCTGGTCACCCTGCAAAGAATATTATTAAATTGGAGAGGGTTCAGAAAAGATTTACTGGGATGTTTCTGGGACTGGAGGATTTGACTGAAATGGATAGGCTGGCACTTTTGTCACTTAGAGCATCAGAGGTTGAGGGATGACATTATCTAGAGGTTTATAAAATCATGAGGGACATAGATAAGGTGAATAGCAATGGTCTTTTCTCTAGGGTTGGTGAGTTCAAAATTAGGGAATGTATTTTTAAGGTGAGAGGAGAAACTTTTTATAAAGGGACCTGAGTGGCAACTTGTTCACCCAGAGCGTGTTTCATACACGATATAAACTGCCAGTACAAGTGCTAGATGCAGGTGCAGATACAACATTTAAAAGACATTCAGACAAGTACATGATTAGCAAGGGTTTAGAGGGATATGGGTTAAACACAGGCAAGTGGGACTGGGTTTAGTTTGGGGAAACTTGGTCGGTATGGATGAGTTGGAACAAAAGGTCTGTTTCCGTGCCTTATGACTCTGACTTTATTATTAATAGCCAAATTTTAAGCCATAATATGCTATTGCTTTGAGGTAGTAAGTGTGCAATTGACATAAACTCACAATGTTGTTGAATTACTTAAGACTGAAAGTGCAGATTGGCAGCTGTGAAAGGTTTATAAAATCTGGTTGTTATGATGGTATTGAATGGGTTAATGATGAACCACTTAAGCATTTTTCAAATAGTTTTTAGCTTAGTATAGTTTATTAAAGTCATCTAAACGTGGTCTACTTGTACCTATTTCAGAACTCGCGTTGCAGTATTTGCTCATTTTTAAAAGCTAATTCTCTGAAAGAGAGTAATGACGGTAAGGCAACATTTATTACATGTGCCTTGTGCAGCGTGATCATGACCAACGTTCTTTTGATAGAGATGGTGCTTATTCAGTTGTTTTTGAGAGTTGCTGGATCTAGGTACATCATTAATGAATGAATGTCATTGTATGTCCAAGTCAGAATGGTGAACGTCTTGAGAATTTGGCTGTTATGATAGTATAACCTAGCTGCTACTATTGCGGTTCTCTTTTTAAATCAGGACCATGATTGATAGGCATTTGGTAGTACAGAAGTTGATCATTTCTGAAAAAGGACATATTGTGTTGTCGCTTTTCATCTTCCACTAATCAGGGCAATGCGTCAGAGTACCAATAAAGGGGAAACCAACATTTATACTATGTCAGGAAGGAGTGCTTTTTGGTCGGAAAGTGGACTCTGGTAGAGACATTGCCATGGGGAATGTAGCAGTTAATGATTGACTAAGCTGCCAGGCAGGCAGGTTGACTTTGGTCAGGGCATTGCCCAGAGAGTGGTTGTCACGTATTTTATTGAGTTGAAACAGGCATTGTACATGCACATGTCATTTCTGTCTGCTAACAAGGCCCTATGTAGCTTCCAGTACACACAAGTGCACCCTAAGGAGGGCTCAACTGATGATCCTAAATTGGTTAAAAGGAAAATATTGCAGATGCTGGAAATTAGAAAGTGCTGAGCAGGCCTGGCAGTCCCTGTGGAGAGAATAAGAGTTAACTTTTGAGTCTGATAGGAATGTTTATTGGAATTCCAGGGAACCTCAGCTCCAAAGAAGAGTCACAGTGGACTTGAACTGTTAATTCTGTTTGTCTCTTGACAAATGTTATCAGACCGGTTGAGTTACTCCAGCACTTTGTTGTTATCTTAAATTGATTGTCAACGTAACTCATCACATGTTGAGCAGTATCCAGTGAATGTTGTGCATTGGAAAAAGTTACTTTGTTGTTGGACACTGTGTGGCAACAAATTATCTTTTCAGCAATATGCTACTGAAGAAAGAATCATTGTTGCAATGAATCTTGTTTGTCCATCACAGCCTAAGTGCAATTCGGGTTGTACTTTGTGGCTGAGGGCCAATCAAGTAGGTTGCTTTGTCCAGAATGACACTGAGCTCCTTTCCTGGTGATGAACCTGCACCTGCCCAAATGAATGACAAGTAAGCCAGTCACACTCTGCAAGCTTTCTTGACAGTAGAGAGCCTTTGAGAGCTGAGGAAGTAAGCAGTTAGGAAATAATCGGTTTGCAGAATATTGGTTTTTACCTTGCCAGATCTGAATTTGGCTGGTCATGTTGAGCTTTGATTGGTGGTGGTTGTAAGGAATTCAATAATGCCTTATCTTTACAAGCCAGGGCAAGACAATTCGCTATTCATTTGTTGAAAAAGGTCATTGTTTAGCACATATGTGGTACTTTTTCACCTGTGAGCTAGCTGTTCACTCTGCAATTTGACTGGACCAGGAACTGGCAGATTCTGCTGCCATCTAACAAAATTCCTGTCTCAATTCAGAGTCATACAGCGCGGAAACAGACCCTTCGGTCCAACCAGTCCATGCTAACTGTAAACCCATTTCAGGAGTACAACATAACCCTGGCTAAACCCATTTTTCCTGTCCTGTCCACCCTCGCCTCTAACAAGAAATGTGAGGATCCCATAAACGTTTTCCTTATTAGACTGAAACTATCAAATTTCTGGCCCTCTGCCACTCCTTCATTTGGCCCTTTGGGCCAAATTTGCTTCTCTGTTCCCGTGGACTGTGATTTTTTTTTTTGTTATTTCTTAACTTCCCTGCCCCATTAACAAGTTCACCTTGCCAATGGGACCCACCTCTTCCTCCCTCAACACTATGCACATTAAATAGCTAACATCCCAGCCTTCCATGTTAGTTCATGTTAACTGCTTTCCTTCAGATACTGTCTGCTGCACCTGCTTAAATCTTCCATTGTGAACACTTCTCAAAAACCCAAGTTACTACTCATCTGAATCTGAATTTTGTCTCTCAAACACTTAAACATGCAGCTGCCTGCTAAATCAATGCCTGTTTTTACTGTAATTCCATGTTTGAACGGTATCAATCGGCTTTCCAGCCCTGTCACATCAAAGCACAAATGACTTTCCATGTGACTAGGAAACACACATGACTGGGAACTAAATTGAAGCGAGGCTTGTGAACAACTGCGTGCACAGTGTTCAGGATGTCATTGTTAACTCTGGTGTTTCCGATACTTGTAGAAATGCAATGAAGTCAAAGCAGCAGCTGCCCCCCACCACATTAATGAATTGATTCCATGGCTTGCCTTATTACAATGAATCTATGAAGTTCATGCTTATTTGGCCTTTTAAATTTTGCACCAGCAAAGTACCCTCCACTTTCTGCCACAGTTATCTGCCCCCCACTCAAGTGGCTGGGGCCAGTTTATGCACAGGAGAGAGCAACTTGAGCAAGTATAGATGGCATTCAAGAGGATGATCAAAGAATAGGGCAGGAAATTGAGACTCTGAGGAAAGAGATGTTGGAAGGTTAGGACTTTGGACAGGGGAGAACAGTGAAAGCAATGGGGAGGCAAGGAGAGGATGATGATGGAAAAAGGGAGACTGTTGAACAGGACTTGGAATATTGTTAAGTGAGAAGAGAAAGTGAAATAAGAAGATGAAGGGCAGCACGATTGTCTCAGGCAGGAAAGAAAGCAAAACTGGTAAAGGATATTGAGGCAAGGGTGATGGGAAAAGAGAAGTGAGGTTGACTGAAAGTGAGGCATAGGATTCCTTCGAGAGTCAGGAGCAGTAGCAACAAAAGAGGGAGCAGTAGAAAGAAAAATCAGCCAGAAAGGATGT